AAAATTTAAAATACCTAGGACAGAATTGTCTATTCCTACAGTTGGTCACACAAGTGTCCACAAGGACTACTTTGCATGCATTTGTTGGTGTTATCTCAGCACAGCCCACAAAAGAAAAAAAAAAAAAACAGCAAGGCAACAACCTGGACCAAGCCAAGAATGCTAAATGGAATGAAAATCCTTCATCTTCATGCATTTGCCATGCCCTGCTCACATGCAACAGGTATGAAGTTTGAGCAAAAATGTTGTGCAAAGCACTGCCTATCCAAAAAAAAAAAAAAAAAAAAAAAAAAAAAAAAAAAAAAAAAAAAAAAAAAAAAAAAAAAAAAAAAAAAAAAAAAAAAAAAAAAAAAAAAAAAAAAAAAAAAAAAAAAAAAAAAAAAAAAAAAAAAATTTGCAGAACATTAAACTAAGCTACGGAACAGAAACCTCAACATCCACAGATCACCTTAAGTTTAAAGCAACCTCTGTTGACAACAGAGTGCCAAAGGCTTCCAGGATCTTATCAGACCTTCCCTTAACCTCCTAAATTCATGCCGTGGTTTTGTTTTGTTTTTTTAAAACAAGACATTGCAGAGATGAGTGATGTGGATTTCCTCCTTCCCCCAAAGCACAAGCAAAAACACGTCCCCTGGTGTGGACACGCAGCACCGGCTGCCACAGCCAGCGGCGGGACGAGCTCGCACACGCAGAGACAAACGATGCCCCAAACCTCTTACCTTGCTGGGCTGGACTCGGTGCACCAGGGTCATTCTCTCCCATTTCCAGAAAGTTATGAACTCCCCCGAAAGGAGCCAAGCTGTTTTAAAGCAAGCGGACCTGGTTTCCGTGCAAGTTTTGACCTCCTGACTTTCAGCTGTAGCGCGGTAACTGTATACCTGGCTTTCCTCTGCGAATAATTAGTACCCTGCTTCCTGAGCTACCTGGGCTTGCCTGACCTGTTTCTCTATAAACTGACATCATATCCTTTGATCTCCTTTGATTAACATGTGCTTCGGGCAAGGCTGCTTTGTCTCCTCTTGGACTCTCCTGCTCCTTCGCTCCCCACCCTTCCCTTTCACTTTCACACAGACAGGGAGATAAAGCCTATCTCTGTTTCGTGGCAGGTGTTTCGGACAAAATGCCAAAGCCCGCAGAAAGTTTGCAACTTGAGTTGATTTTAAAGGACCTCTGAATTTGCATTTCGCGGGAAAACTAAATGATAACTATCAAGCCAGTCTCTGGGATGGGAACTTCGCAGTTCTCCACCGCTGAGGGCAATGATCGCTGCCGATGGAGCGCCCCTTGGCAAAATCTTTGCAAAGTACCCAAAACCTAAAAACCCCAACACGCCCTTGCCCTGCCTTTCCCAAGGGTTACCCCCGAGGAAAATGCTTTACTTGAACACCGCAATGTAAATGTTGCTTGGACTGCATTACAAAGACGGCTTCTAAACAAAACACAAGTTTGTTTTGCTTCTCTCGCCCTCCCTCTCCAGCACAAGGAGATAATCTTATCCAGCCACACTCCCAGGTGAGTTCCAAGAAAATATTTGCTCTTTTCTGACACGTAAATCAAATAACAGGTGTCTGATGCATTTGTGATCCATTTGCTGAACAAGTACACCTGTCTCTCTCCCTTCAAAGTTAGTTTTAGTTTAACATTTACATTTGCAACTGCCAGTGACAAAAATCAAAGGGAAGACACGGCACTATTTTAAAGGAACAAACAACTGCAACTTAAAAGAGGTAATTAGCTCTCACCATGTTAATCTCCATCTGGATTACACTCAAAAGGGTCTAATCAATAGTGTTAGAAATTGTTTTACTTCAGAAGCAATTAGGTCTATTTTTAAAACTAAACTATAAGGGTTTTTTTCCTTCCCCCCCCCCTTTTTAAAAGTACTGAAACAGAAACAGAGGACAAAAATATGGAAAGCTTTTCAAGATGATTCAGGCTAAGTATAGTATAGTTTTAAAATAAAATTTCTGAAATGAACTATGCTAATGCAAACAAAAGTCTCATTTAGTAATAGGAATATTCCCCCCAGACAGTAACACTCCTCACATGGGCAGAAGTATGCAGAAATAATTATGTCCTGAGTTTTGCTACAGAAGGTAAATCAGTCCCCCATCTGAACACTGGATTTCAAGAAAACTACTCACTTGGTTCATGGAAATGAAGGGGTTTACAAGAAAATGCTCATGCTTCATTCTTGCCTGATTGTTGAATTATTCGAGTTAAATTGACTGTCCCACAGTCAAAAAAGGCTCTTTACCAAGAAAGAAAGAAGAAAAATGAACTAAGGTTTGAAATTGGGCCTTTTATTATTTTATTCCTCTTAGTTTAGCTAAACTATTGCTACGTTTCCCCCCGTAATCCTCAACCTCAGCTCATGAGCCAGAATTTGCAGTCAGTGGTTCCTACAATTCACCAGACCCATCCGTCCTGGAAAACCAATTCACTGTCAGTGAGCTGGAGCTGCCCTTGGCCAGCTCAGAGCCAGTGCAAGAGGAGAGACTCCAGCAACACCTGGGGAATCTCCCCAGCTGCTTCTGCGACTTCCAGTTCCGATGCTGAACATCAGCTTGAATTAATTTACTGAGTTTTCACTTGACAGTACCAGTGACACATTTGACTGAGACATTCGTTTAGTGGGTGGAGGTCCTTTTCAGCTCAGTTCTAAGGCAGCTTCCTCTACTTAAGGACAGAGAATAAAACAAGTTATTTTTGCGTGCAGAGAAATGCATAAATAAGAACTTAACTGGCTTTGTGATTCCCTCAAGAGTGACAAACCAAAGTTCCCTTCCCTGAAAGCACCAAGTAGGACAGTTAATGGGACAAGTATGTAAGAGCAGATATTAAGCCTTAATTAAAAAGGGTCTGACTATATCTATTCCTGCTTTTCAAACAGGTGTCTAATAAGAAAAGAGATGTGCATGATCTTCCTGAAGCTCAAAGCTGATGAAATGTAGCTAAGACTGGAGAAGGAAAAATACTGGGCCACTGATCTTTGCTTATCTCAGCTCTCAAAGCCATGAGAGCAAGTGGACCATTCAGTACTAGTTTGATTTGGGAACAACATTTAGGTTGCCCCATCCCTTCCTGGGGACAGTGGAAGAGCACATACAGAAGCTCTTCCTTAACCATCAAACCTGCTGAGTTTCTATATTCAAAAAACTTGAGTTGCTCTGTTTTTAAGAGAAATTATTAAGAAAAAAGAAGTTTATTTATCAGTGAAGTTCTGCAGCACAAATCAAAATATATTTGATAATTAACTGATGAGAAAGAAACAACTAAGGCATTTCTGCCTTCTCCAAACACAAACTATCCATCTCTTGAAAGATAAATCCTTAAATACCCTACTTTGTTTTATTTATAATAAGGCATGGGAGAAATCATAATGATTAATTTTTACCCTCAAAACCGTATTCTGTGAGATGCCCATCTCAGCCTCCCCCCCTCCCCTCCAAAGGGAGAGCTAATTCCAAAGAAGACAGAAGTCAAAGGCAACAAAAATAACTATTCTCCTTAGCTACTGAGCACCAGCACTTTGCTTCAGGACTAAGATTCTGATTTTAGGCTTTTAGCACCTACAGAAGAATTCTGTAATTTCAGTTCTAGCGTTTTCTCACACCACCTTCTGTTAACTCTTAAATATTTTTAAGAATTCAAGAGATGAGAGTTATAGTACCGAAAATACTCCCTCCTTTGAAATGAAGCCTAAAAGTGGGAATAGCACAAAAAGGACAGGAGCTCAAGATTTTTCACACTCCCTCTTCCAACAATGACTGATGGTGAGAAACGGCTTTCTTGCTTTTATGTTCTCCTAAAACTGTTTGTTGTGCTCAGTTGTGTGCAATGATTTAAATGGAGTGCTTTCCAAAGGAGGAATCCTTAACCCATTCACTCTCTCTAGAAGGACCCAAGTGTGAAAATGCAGTGACTTTGTTCTGCTTGAAGAAAAAAAAGGAGAAAGTGATTCTGTATATTCACTGCACAGCAAATGCAACATTTCTTGAGTGTAAAGAGTGCATTTGGCAGTCAATGAACAGAACCATAATTTGATCAGGGCTAAAAAAAGGGAAAAGTTAATTATTATGCCGTACATGAAGTCATGCCAAACAGATCATTGCCTCATACTGCTGACATCATGGATGTCACTTTCATCAGCCTGAGCTCCATGTCCTTGGAAACAGAGCACTCTCCACCAACAGTGGACTTGGCAGAGAATGTGAATTTTGCCACAAGTTTCCAACAGCAGCTCAGCAAAGCCAGAGAGGGGCTCTCACAACTGAGAGCCTTCAGCAAAACCCCTTGAAGTGCTGGCCAAATTGCTTTCATGCCTCTCATTTCTACTCAAAAATACAGTTATTTTATAGAACTAATGCAAAGAAAGTAATATCACCGAAAGCTACCCCTATGGCTGTCATTCTCTACTGGTAATATATTTCAACCTCCCAGACATTACTCTACATACTCCTCAAAGGGAGCAGAACTACATGTTTTGGGGGTTTGCTTTTTATTTTTCTTTTTCCTAAAGAATATAATTCCAACGTTTCAAAAATGTGGATAAGGAGGTACACTTATTACATGTGAAATTGCACAGATAATGCAAATCATATCTAGAACTGAAATGTAGGAACTGGGAATATGCAGATTTCTTTTACGCAGTTGCTAGGATGACTCTCTGATCCAGGCTCTGTGGACACTTGCTCATTGTTAAGCAAGAGTTTTAACGTGTATCAGAGATAAAAAGCAGTCCATAAAGTTTCTTGTAGTCACTACCTGTCTGGCATCACAGGCTGACAGTTTTCACAAGAAAACAATGACAAATATTTCACCTTCAACAATGACAGGAGTTCTGGGAGAAACGGAACAGTGCCAGTCCTGTTTGCCTTACTAAACCAGACAGGCACAGGTTCTGATGTTCATGTTTTTATATAGTTGGTGCTCAGGTTTTCTTGTTGTTAGTGGTGGTTATTTGTTTGGTTTTTTAAGAGCAACACAGATATTTTATTTCTCCCATGGAAAATGGTACGGAGAAGGCACAGCCTTATTTGGTTACCCTCCAAATTCCAAGCAGTTCTTTAGCCTACAACCTCAATTAAAACAGGAGAGGGGAAGGAAAAATATTTTCTTCCACGATTAAAATGGATTAAATACAAAAGCAAGGATAACCAGTCCCAAAACCACTGTGAAATAGGTTTTCAGTGTCTGTGCAAAGGATGCACTAAAAAAACCAGTGACTGAGTTCCAGCAATAGAGACCTTGCACAGATGGTGCTGAGCAGTGAGCAAAGCCCAAGGAAGACTTACTCCATCATGGATGAGATGTTCATCCCACATTCCCCTGGCTCATCTGAGTTTTATCTCCAAGTCTGGTTGTGCTAAACAGTTTTTTCACCAGTTACAGGGATGCTGTGGTACAGAACTTCATACAGATGCAAACATTGCCCCTTAGGAGCTCAGTGGGAAACAAAGTCTGTTCATTCCCACTTATTTCTAAGCACTCATCACAGCTCACTACCAAAGAGACCAGAAAAGGCTCCAAAACACCACTCTGACCTGCAACTTATGGATGTGAATTGAACAGAACTAAGATTTACGTCTTCCAGACCCACCATAAAGGGTTTTTTCCCCCTTGGCCACTTTGTTGGAGGATGATTGCACAGAGGAGTGTAACTATTCTTTTTCAGAAGCACATCCAGCAAATTGACTGACATGTAGTTCAAGCTCTCCTTAATCCCTTGCTGAGTGAGAAAATCACATGCCAAGGAAATTTATTAGTATGCAGAAGAAAGCAGGATTCATTATTTTTTGTTGTTTTGTTAATAACACATACATTATTTTCACAATACCTGAATTATGGGTAATTGTTCTGTCTCTCTGAGACCTATCTGTCTGATATGATTGACAAATACAACACAATTTGTGACCTGTTTTACCTTTATG